TTTGAATTTTTAATAACATCGAGGAGAGCTTTTGAACTGTAGAATACAGGTAACTGTGGAATACAGGTAGTCGGGCCCCCATCTCTTCTCGCATGATGGTAGAGCTTATTGCTACTTTAGATACCGTCAAACATGCGAATAAGTCCTCCGCTGCTTCTAGGGAGGTGATGTCGGGTACTTTTTCAAGTCCTTGAATATGCATTGGCGAGCCTCATCCCAAAGTGCATGCTTCTCTGCTAAAGCAAAAGAGTCTGCCAGAGTTAGATCTTCTTTCATGATCAATTTTCTGAATAGCGGGTGGTCTGCTGGAAGTCCTTTTTGGAAGGCTGCTCTAGCTATCGAGTCGTTGCATCCGACTATTTTTGCCTTCTCTACTTTGAACCTCCTCACATAGTCGTGAAGTGACTCATTTGGGTTCTTCTTGACGTTGAACAAATGATCAGATTTCTTTTTGATCGAGCGATAGGATGAATATTCTTTGGTGAAAACCAAAGAAAGTTCGTAGAAATTCCGGATGGATTGTGGCGGCAGGGTGTAGAACCAATCTTGCGCCTCGCCTTGTAGAGTGGTGGCGAATATCTTGCACATAAGCTCATCATTGTTTCGATAAAGGATCACTGCGCTTCGGTAGCGCTTTAAGTGTCTCTCCGGGTCTTCATCCCCTTTGAAAAATGTGAAATGTGGCATGCTGAACTCTCGTGGAGGCTCTGCCTGCTCGATCTCGTCCTGTGAAGGGTGACCTGCTTATGTTGGTCATGTTCCGTCGTAGTGCATCGTCGGTGACCTCGTTGCGTTGGAAATCATGCAATCGTTTGGTCAAGAGTCTCTCTACTTCTTCCTGAATTTGCCTTTGTTGGGGTAGCGGAGCTCTCGGCTGCCCCCAGCCATGACTTGCTGGTCTAGGCTGCTCTTCCATGTGTTTGGCTCGTCTACGCCGCAGATGTAGTGCATGTGGTGCGTTTCTAGCAGGCGAGCGAGTTCTTCGCAGGCTGCTGGTTGAACTTAAGCTGGATTGAGTGACTGCTTCTCTCCGTCCGTCGTGCTGCATACTCTGATGTGAGGTGGATGATGCTTCTTGTGGGCTTAGCCGCGAATGAACACTTTGTCCGGAAGGTTGCTCATGTTGACTATCGGAGTGTGACCCCAACCGTGAATGTATGCTCATCCGTGGGCCTAGTCGAGAGTACACGCTCCTCCGCGCGCTAAGACGGGAGTATACACTATTTCGGGGGCCCAATCGGGAATGTACACTGCCTGAACGTTCAGCTCGTGGCTGGTCGAATGGCTGCTTGCTGGGACGCTGCTGGAAAGGTTCGTCTGCCCTTGTCCTACTTCGGGATACCTCGTCCGGGGCACGTTGGATCCCGATGCGTTGCAAAAGTTGATTCACCAAAGTTGTCTATTGTGCAAGGGCGCTCGTCAACTCTATGACTTGTCGAGACAAGTGTTGTTCGCCATTTGGATTGGAAGAGCTTGGAAGGAATGCGCCTCCTTGGGTAGTGGAAAGGTGGTAGACTCCAGGCGCGAGATTTGAGTTGGGAAATGTCAAATCCGTGAAAAAATGTGGTGAGAATGCCCCCGGCTTGATGGTAGGTCCGGATGGTTGAGATAGTCTTGGGCCGACTTGGGCTGCTTGGAAAGCCACGGGAGCAGGCTGGGCCGTGAGAGTGGGTTGCTCGTCGGGAGCAGGCTGAGTCACGAGAGCAGGCTGCTTGGCAGGAGCAGGCTGGGCCACGGGAGTGGGTTGCTCGTCGGGAGCAGGCTGGGTCACGAGAGCAGGCTGCTTGGCAGGAGCAGGCTGGGCCACGGGAGCAGGCTGCTTGGCAGGAGCAGGCTGGGCCACCGGAGTGGGCTGCTCGATGAAAGCAGGCTGGGCCACGGGAGTGGGCTGCTCGTCGGGAGCAGGCTGGGTCACGAGAGCAGGCTGCTCGGCAGGAGCAAGTTGGGCCGTGAGAATGGGTTGCTTGTGGTCTTGATACCGTGAGCCTTGGATGGCACGGCTCGGGCCGTGGTGAAGGCTCCATGGACCTCGCCACGAGTGGCTACCGAAGTAGCCATCGCGGTGGTTCCCATGGTGGCCGTGGTGAAGGCACCATGGACCTCGCCGCGGGTGGCTACCGAGGTAGCCACCACGGTGGTTCCCATGGTAGAAGCTTGTGGTGATGATGCCGCTTCCCTTATTGTCGCATTTTGCCTCACGGATCTCCGGGCCGTGGTGAAGGTTCCATGGACCTCGGCACGAGTGGCTACCGAAGTAGCCACCGCGGTGGTTCCCATGGTGGCCGTGGTGAAGGCACCATGGACCTCGCCGCGGGTGGCTACCGAGGTAGCCACCACGGTGGTTCCCATGGTGGAAGCTCGTGATGATGATGCCGCTCCCCTTATTGTCGCATTTAGCCTCACGGATCCCCGCAATCCCATTTCTTGAACATTAGAATTTTCACTTTTTGTGCGAGAGTCTTCTACGAGTATGGATTTCAACTCTCAATGAAAGCACCAATTTGTGGATGCAAATTTTCTCCTCTTCGATCTTGGACGATTTTGCACCTACAAAACAACTAGCACCTTAGGTTAAGGCCAAGAGCCTCACGCGCCCACGATGAATGGGGGGGCTTTGGCCGAAGAACCTCCGATGCCAAAGTTAGAATTTTAGAGAGAAATAGTGTTTAGAGTATTTGTGATTTTTTGTGAGAGAGTTGGAATGAATTTTTGGTGAGAATATGTGTTTATTTATAGAGTTAGGGTTTGCCCTATTTGAATAATAGTAGCCAGCCATAGGGTTTTTGTGGGGGTTAATTTCATGTTTAATTTGCCAATTTATTGGCTAATTAAATATGAAAATAATAAATGGGTGGTTATAAAAATGAATGATTATTTTAATAAGGAAAATGGGAAAGATGAGGATGTTATGGAATGTTTGAAATAAATGGCTAATTGAATAAGGAAAAAATGAGGTAAAAACATATATGAAATAGGTTTTGAATTGTTACCCATTTTGGGTACTCCTGACTTAGTTGATGGATGATTCTCCACTGCTCGCGTGTAGGAGACCCGGTATGCCTCCAGGGTATTTTTGTCCTATTTTGTCCAAAAATCCACGTGTCGCCTAGTGAATATTTTTGGCTCCACAGGGTGGTCAATCATCAACCTCCAAGAAAATTTCTAAAGATGAGGTGAGTAAAGATTAGAACAAGAAATGATCCGATAGATTAAACGATCATAACCCAACTTTTTTGGGGAATTCGAAAATTTTATTATGCTTTGATGTATAAGTTATTCTATGTGTATAAGATACTTTGTAACATACTAGGTTATACACGTAGTGGCGGATGTCCATTGGAATCAAGGTGGTACTAGGACCACCCAGATCCTGAGAAATATACATGTGAAAGTTCTTCTGACAATCCTTCGAATGTTTGGTATGGTTCTTTTTATGTTCACCAAGTGTTTGATGTAATGTCTGCTATGCATATATCTCGGCATTACTCAGGCATCGACAACACTCGACAAATTCTCTCGATAACACTCATCAAATTGTTTCGCATATGTCGATATCTGTTGACATGTGCGCAACATAGTTTGACTGGCGACAACAAGCCCAGTGTTTGACGAAATGCCTCATTGAATAAACTAAATTTTTTTGTGCACTTCGCACTCTATTTATATTAAAAAAAAAACTTACACATTTAACACTACGAACTCCCAATGATCAAATCTTAATTCGCCACTGCAAACACGAAATATGTTTTGAGCGATAAACGTTAGCAAGGAAGTATCCGGGATGATGACCACCCGAAGCCTCAATAGATGGCAATCTTTTTTTGTTTTTAAAAACAAAAATGTTATTCTTACCACATATTTGTACTATCTCTCTGTTAGATATGAGACTTACATATGATGGTAGATTCTACCTTTATTAGAAAAATAGTACAAATATATGGTAAATGTAGCATTACTCTTCTAAAAATGAGTTGACGATGAACAATAACTAATTGGATTTAGTTAGGAGAAGAGAGAGAGTTAAATTTTGGTTGATCATTAAAATTATAAAATTACATTGATTGTGGGCTTCAAGAGAATAAAAAAGATTGTAAGTATTGTCGGAAGTGGTGACTAACCAAACTAACATTTGGGTCAGTTAGCTAGCTACAATAACTTTAGTGAGGACCTTATTTTGGAAAAACCTAATGTGACAAACCCAAGGCAAAGAAGAAAGCACCACAACCCTTTCAACTGTCAACTATTACTTACATAAAGAACAGAAGAAAGCCAAGACGTACGGTTAGATTTGAACCAAATACAAAGTATGGTTGAGAGAGAAACTGCAGCACGCGCGAGCCACTCGATGGGGCAGCCATGTTGCATGCTCTAGGGCAATAGCTCCATGGGATCAACTTGATCAGGTCTTTAATTTCCTCCAAACACTAGAGCTAGGCCCTCATCACTTGAATAAATTTCTAAGTTAATGAACTAGTTTATAATCTAATGATGTTTCTCTTTGAAAATAAATTTTGAGCTCGAATTCTCATATTCCACTCATGAGCTGATTAGAAAATAAAAAAAATTAAAGGCAATTTAATTATAGTATCTAGATGCAGCATGGTCCAAACTCGAGTGGAATGCACGCAGTCCCTATAGTGGTGGTGCGTCCTTCACGTTTTGTCAACATAATAATGGTCTTCATTGGCTAACTGCACGATGATTTTAGCAAAGAATTTATAAAAATAAAAAAAGTACTCTTAAGTCAACAATTATTATTTGCACAGTAGAGTCAATTAATACTGTAGATTGCGAGTTTGAAATTAATTTATTCATTCACTTTTTAATGTAAATATAGTGTTGTCAGTTCGAAACTAATTCATTCACTCCCTTAGTGTAAAAATAACGTTATATAAAAAATTATTGCACAATAGAGTCTCAAAATAAAATTACAAATATAAAACAAAATGTAAAAGACCCCCAACCCAAAAAATGGAAAAGTCAAATTGCTAAAAGAGAAGTCCCAGAATGTCTAACCATTCCATGCAAGTTGATCCATTGGACTCAGTTGGTAATTATACATTCCACAAGGCAATGCTGTAGACTCCATAAAATTCATATCAAAGTTAGAGCTTCCAAATGAAACGTCCATGTTTGTCTCCTCATCTTCCACCACTTCACAAGCCTCCTCCTGTTGTGACTGCAATTGTATGTCTTCTGGGTTTGTGGATTTAGTTATGGGTTGAAAGCTCTCATTTACAATATTTTCAAGCTCTGATATTGGATACGAGTGAGAAGTGGAGATTGTTGGAACACTATTTATCTCCATGGACTCTGTTAAAAAATTTGGATTAATTTGCTCTTGGACTGGAGTAGTACTCCAAACCATATTAGGGTTTTGGAATTCACTCCAAACCATATTAGGGTTTTGGAATTCATAGGTTGATATGGGTGAGCTTTCGTGATTTGCATTTGGAGACGAAGTAGAAGGTAATGTGAGATAAGCTGCTTCCAATATGTCTATGGAAGCATCTGCTGAGACATGTGAAGAATTTACAGAGAAAAAAGAAGATGGAGAAAACATATTGCATGCATGAATATTATTATTGTTGTTGTTGTTGATGTTACTAGGGTTAGCTTTGGAAGAAGGGAGAAGATTGTGGGTGTTGGGATCAAAACCTTGTGCAATGAGCTTCTTCTTGATGCATGAGTTCCAAAAATTCTTGACCTCATTGTCTGTTCTACCTGGCAAATGCTTGGCTATCTGAGCCCATTTGTTGCCTAAAATCCTATGAACTTCAACGATGGTTCTCTCTTCTATCTCAGAAAATGAACCCCTCTTGAGATCTGGTCGCAAATAGTTTATCCACCTCAATCTGCAACTCTTTCCACACCTCTCCAAACCTGCAATTAACAATGGAACAAGATCACAAAACGACGTTGTTGAAATTATGAGGATAGAGTTTTCAAACTGGTATGTGGAGAAGGAAACATACTCTAGTCAATTTGGCTAAGTGCCCATATCTCTGCTGAGAGAATATTGATAAAAGTAATTGATGGCTACGGAAATATACGTACCAGCTAGTTCTGGGACAGAGCTCCATGAACCATGGCCATAGGTGTTGATGTGATTCAACAGCTTCTCATCTTCTTCAGGAGACCACAGTCCTCTCTTAACTTTCTGTTTGCTGCAACAGGTATGGCCCATCCTTTTCTGTCGATCCTCAGGCTCTTTCAATATTAATTAGCACACACACCATGGATTGTCATCTAGTTTGGATGTGGCTCGTTTACCTTAAATATGTTTAGTATGTTTCTTAAACATCCAATTTTAGAAAAAAGGTAAACATCTTATTGTAATAGAGAGAGAGAGAGAGAGAGAAGAGAGAGAGGACCACTGAGTCTGAGTCTCTCTTTGAGTGTTTTGGTAGCTTCCTAACCTATCTCATTCAACTAAATGGGTCTCAATTAACTTGAATGTTACTTTTCTTTAATAATAGTTTGAATCTTACTTGATGAGTAAGAAATTACAGAGCATGGTCCTTCTTAAAATGAACTAAGAAATTTCAAAGCATGGTCCTCCTTAAAATGAACTGTTTGATTTGTGGAGTAATATTGCAATTAGTGAGGATCATATTTTATCTCTAATCACACTGATACAGAAAAATGATCTCCCACACTCTTTTTCTTCTTCTGCACATGCATATTTATGTAATTCTTCTAAAAAAAATTAAAAAAAAAAGTGTGAAAGAAGAATAAAAGCATGCGGAGGAAATCACTTCCGTAAATATATTTCAAATACACATCAATTGTGGTATAATGTGATCAAAGTATGATATATATATTATGTATCTAAGGAAATGGAATATAGGACCTTATGGCTAAAGGCTCTTTGATCACTTAAGCTTCAAGGGCCTTACATATTATGAGAATATTTTTTTTCTATTGAAAAATTGTTATTAGTATTCCCAAATTTCATTCTGCACTTGAAATATGTAAAATTATAAGAGAGGAATAACACTTAGAAGAGTGCGCAGAACGATTTTTTTAAAGTGTCAATAATATCATCATTTCTGTATATAAATAAATTATTGAAGGAAGGATTGAAGTGATTCCCAGCAAACATAGTTAAAAGATGCAAGTTTAAGAAACTGTAAAAAACAATATAAAAAGTAATTACTTTACCCCTAGGTTAATTAAACGTTTGATTTTGATCTTCTTTGCGTTTTTCTTTAAATTTTATAATGAAATTTTGACAAACTCTCTTTCCCAAACGTCATGATGAAACCACATCTTTATCAAACATAGAAACATATATAATTGAATCATACTATTTGGAATGAATAGATTTATATATAATTAATGGTCATTAGTGGGAAGCCTAATGATTTAAAGCTAACTACATCATTTCCTTCCACACAAACATTTCTATATATGTATACATTTTTATGCCATTTACGTCTTATAATTTGTAAATCGGAATAGGCTGCATTTGACATACATCCTTGCTTCACTCAACCGTTGCTTGAAGATTTCAATCATAATTTCTTGGTATCAACGAAGAAGATGATGATTGGATATGTCTCCTTTCAGCGTCTTTCACCCGTCCCTTGCTACCTTACTTTCCCTAATTATCCTTTTGTTTAAAACTTAATTAATTAATCGTTTTCCCTCATAAACTAATTTTCTTTAGGAGGAAATCACGTGGAAAAGCAAAAAATTAAAGAACAAACATACTATATTAAACCAGCCAATACATCTTTCCACCTTCTATTATTGTCAAAATTGTCTCCGTTGGCCCCCTAAGAGACCATTACACTGAGGGCAACGATAACTTTTTCTTGTTTAGTACAGAAATTGGAAAAGTCCCTTTGTCTTGTCGAACATGAAATAGCACATGTCAGAACACCAAGCTAAAGTGAAGTAATTAGTCTGCTTAATAAACCAAATTAAGCTTGAGTAATATAATACTGATCCAACAAGATTCATAAGGGTGAAAGAAATTCGTTTGCATGAGTAGCCAAGAAATTAGAAAGGTTTACTAGCTAGAAAGAGAAATATGTAAAGATTAGATTAAACAACTCAGAGATCAAAAGAACATATAATTCACATTATAATTTAATCAAAACCAAATAGTTGTATAACCTGCATGTTTTCACATGGCTGAACAGATCAGAGATCATCCCTCATCAGAACGATCGAGAGGGGCGCTGAAGTGTTTTATGCATTTGCCTTGTATCTTTCTCAGGCCGTTGTCTATTGATTAAAACAATTTATTTCTTAACTTATTAATGGCTCTTATGTCTCCGGAAGTATATATCTCTATGAGTCTATAAAGTTATTATGTGTCAGCATCACGTAATGAGTGTTATAGATTCATAAGGATATATCCGAAAATTAAGAATCTCTTCCATCATAATTCCCCAAGTCCAATCCCAACTTTTCCCTTTTCTTCATTTGTTGTTATGTGTTGACTCATCACCCACTGTTCTTTGTCTAACTTTAATTTGGAGTTGCACAAATATGCATGATGCTCAAGCTGGGTAATTAAGGAGATTAAGCTTTTTTTTGGAAGACAGGAGATTAAGCTTTTTAGATCCCATGTTTAAGAGTCAAATGAAATATCCTATGATCATCACTAATATCTAACAAGAATGATATGGACCAGCAGTCCATTATAATCTTTCTGCGCATATAGTAATCTGATTCTTACCGACAGTTTCTATAATCATCTGTTTCTTTTTTTGGCCTTGTGTTTTGATTATCATAACTTTGAAGAAAGTTATGCAAAAGGCAAAACAAGTTGATTATCCCCACTAGTAAAATTATCAATGTAATATATTAGTGTTCATCACTCCTATTATTAATTTATAAATTTCTTGCCCTCGCTCCTTTTCATAACCTTTTTGTATTTAATTTTTTAATAAATAGTAATTAGTTGTTAAGAAGGAAAGGAATTGGTGTGATTGAACCTGCACATAATACATACATGATTATTTTCTGCTACAGTCATAAAGCGTGGTTTGCTATCTTTCTTTATCTTGTTACTTAATTATCCCTTTGAATATCACTATTTTAATGACTTTATTTTATTACATTCTACACACACACATATATATACAGGCCTTTTATTCAAAGGGATTTTCATTTTTTTCAAAAAATGAGGATTAGGTGTGGGGTTCACTCTACATCGAACTTCAACGATCTGAACCGTCTATTTTGTAAATCTCGTTTCATAGATCATCCTTACAAAAATTCAATTCAATCTGAAAACATTTGCCTATTTAATTATCAAGACAAAATTTCATTGTTTCTTATATAACAAAGTATTTGTTAATTTCTTTGAACTCAATTAGATATCTTAAACATTTTTGATTTGGCTAATACTTTGCAAGGATGATCTATGAGGTGCAACATGAAAAATAGACGGTTCGGATCGTTAAAGTTTGATGTGGTGTTGACTCCACAACTAATACCCATTTTTATTAAAAAAAAATGGGGATCCCTTTCCTTAAAGGGGAAGGGGTGTGCTTAGACTCACAATGAATTTACAATATGTGATTCAAATTCGTCTTTAATAAGAATCAAATCTAAACCTATTTTATTGTTATCCTTATCGGTCCCACCTTTATTCACCACTCGGGCTAACTCTAAGGGCTTCTCGTGACCTTCTTTGACCTTCTTTTTACCCAATATGTATTTCAAGGGGTCATTGGCTAAAATTTGCCTCCCTTTGTAGCGTGCTTCTGCCCACTTGTTTCCTTTTGGGGTTGTACGGACAGAAACCTTGTGAACAAATACAATTACATTACCTTGACAAACATAATCTATGCACTCGAAAGTCAAAACGCATGCCAACAAGGAAAATGGAAAATATGTGCAGCTTACCTCTTATTTAGAATTAATCTTCACGATTAGGTAAGAATTCTCAATATTGCAGTGCCTATCAATTGGATGCAGTGAAGAATTTGGGTACGTAGAGGTGGCTTACTGGTCTAAACAAGTGTACCACAAGAACAGCAAGAGAATATAAGATCGGAATGCCTATGATTAATGCTTTTATATTTATATGATATGGGTTGCTCTGAATTTTAGGGAGTAAACGGAGGTGGATTGTCTACCCTCCCATTTCCATACTCTTCTCATCCTCTCATATTTTGTGTGGTCACGATTAAATCACGTCACGTTAACATTTTATATTCCTATTACCTTTTGTTTTATTATTTTTATAAAAAAAATCAATATAAAATGTTGACATGGCTTAACCGTGACCACACAAACACGAGGAGATGAGAAGAGTATGGAAATGGGAGGATAGACAATCCACCTCCATATTTTAGACATGCATGCATGCAGGTAGGTTTCTTATGCTGGCAATTGCCAATGTCTTGTAAACATGATTAACAAAACTCTGAAGGATAAACATCACAGCTCATGACCCAAAACCTAGAAGCCTAGTAGAATAATTTCATGAAATACTGATTGACATAAACGATGATTTCTTATATATGGATAAATATTCTACACTAATTGGGTTTTAGATAGAGAGAGAGGGATCTCAGAAGTGGCAGATACAACTACTAAAAGGACAGAAATACGTTATGATAGTTTCAGCTTTGGAGAAACAAGGAAAAAGGATAAGGATATGAAGTGTTCAAGTGAATAATCAAAGTTTACACTTCAAATTAATTAATAGATATTGTATGCGAAAGTACACCTTAATTGTGTAAGAGAATGTATGCTCTTGGCTGTCTAATTTGACTAGTAGCCATTGATTGCTTGACATATATTATATCCATTAAAATAATTATTAGTTACATTAATCTCTCTCTATAGTATACGTTCTGTTCCACTTTTTGGAATTTTTGAGGAGGCCACGCTTTGTTTTGGTTCTTTACAGCTACCGTGTAATGGCTATCTTACAGCTAGCCATGGAAAAAAGAATGGTACTCCAACTGATACATTGATTCATTTGGATTATTGGATGTAACTTGATTAGTTTCCTCACAACCATGCACATAATGTTGCAGATAAGGGGAAGTGTGAGTAATATTTTCTTGTGAAAAATGAGATTGTTGAGTTTTCACAAGATTTTTTGCTTGCTCATAAAGAAAAACGTTACAACTTATTTAGAAATAGTTTTACCATTCATTAAGTCACATAAGCAATTTTTATCTAACTTCTAGAGCGAAACATTAAAAAATAAGTAAAAAAATACTAGCAGTATTGGTTTGGCTTCAGTTCGGGACTAGATACTTAATTATTTGGTTGGAAGTACATTTTGCTTTGATTATTGATTTCTTGCGCTCTTCTCAGTTGGTGCCTTGGCAATTGAGGGTGAGTAGGGAAACTGTTTGCATCGAATTCCCCAAATTCATTTTCGGTCTTCTCACATTTGTAGGGAAAGTAATCAAGTTGTTGATGCTCTAGCAAATCATGGCACCTCTTCAACTGGTCTTTTTTGGTGAAATTCTCCTCCTACTTTTATTTTTTCAAATTATTATTGAGATTATGTGTGTCTTCCAAGCTATCATTTTCAATAGGTTTTCTTTTATTGATGTTATTTTGTTTGCTTGTTTTTCATGGCTTTCTTTCATTGTCATGGTTAATTAGGCTTCATGTCCCCCTTGCCATAAATTGTATTTTCTTTTTTATTAATGAAATTATCACTTAGTCACTTCCTATATAGCAATGCTGGAGTAGATTGATTTTGTGAATTTAATTAAAACATATATATACACACCCGCTAAGACGTTGAACGAATAAAATAAATATATATACTTATCGCTTGTCAAACTATCATTTTTCAGTTTGAATGATTGTTTGCACAGTTGATATATATTGGAAGAAGAACCTAAAATTAAGTGTTGCATTTTATCTGACTACCTTTTTAAAGGCAGCGATAGTGTATGTGGGGGGAATCAAAATGAGGAGATGCAAGTGAAGTGAGAGACATTAATTCACGTAGAGGTGATAAATTACCACATTAAGCGGTGATGTTAGGTGAAATCAAACTAAATCAGTTTTAATGAATACCCATTAACAACTCTATAGTTTAATCCGCCACCTCTAACTTCATTCATGGTCTGCCATGATCATTGGGTACGCGCAAAAGCGTATCTTATTGCTGTTTCGGACTATGGTAAATGAGAAGGTCTGAGGGATTGCATTCTCTGTTTTATCCTCTTGTTTGGGTGGTTGCTGGGGAAATCAGTTCATGGGTTAATGGTCAAGAACCAATGGGAGCTCAGTGTGAAACTTGGTACTACATTGGTTGACATGCAGGTTAAGGAGAAAATTTTCAATGTGCCTACACCACATGTCATTATATAAATAGAAAGAAATTTTATTTTTTAAATTGTTAAATTTTTAATATAAGTATCTCATCACTTATATATTAATACATATTATATTACCTCGTGTTTTGAATGCACAGAAAATCTCTCGTATGCTAAGTGTAAATGTGGCGTCGGGTCGTGGAATGCATTGATATGCGGATCAGCAAAACCGAACGTGGCTCCAGTAGAGCAGCATTGTCTTTGTATGAGGAGATGTAACAAACTGGTACGGAGCCTAATAATAAGGTGACTTTCACAGGGATTCTTAGGCCATTTTTAACCGAAGGGTTTAGAAGGCCAGATGGTCGAAAATAGTCTGAAAATCGTCTCCAACCGAGGGTTAGGCTAGAGGATTCGTGGGCCCCACAGAATCTGAAAGGGCCAAAGGGTTGGCCCAATCTAGCTAGCCCTAGCTGGGCCAGGGGGCTAAGTATTCCTGTCAGATATAACCAACATGAATGTATTTATATTTAATATAAATATATTCTTGTCGGTTATAACCAACATGAATGCTAGCTGACTAGCCGTTGTATTCAAATTTTTTTTAATGAATTTAAACCTTTTTTTCTATAACTTCTATTTTACAAAATTTGTTTCATATTTTTTTTTAAATTCCATTTTTTCCTGTAACTTCTATTTTACAAATTTTGTTTCAATTTTTTTTTTAATTCCATTTTTTCCCATAACTTCTATTTTACAAAATTTGTTTCATAGTTTTGTTTAAATTCCCTTTTTTTCCTATAACTTATATTTTACAAAATTTGTTTCATATTTTTTTTAAATTCCATTTTTTTCCTATAACTTTCATTTTTTTTAAATTCCATTTTTCCTATAACTTTCATATTTTTTTTAAATTCCATTTTTTCCCATAACTTCTATTTTAAAAAATTTGTTTCATATATATTTTTTTAAATTCCAATTTATTTCCTATAACATCTATTTTACAAAATTTGTTTCATATTTTTTTGAAATTCTATTTTTTTCCTATAACTTCCTATGCCATTATACAACATTAAATTAAATTAAGTAACATGAAACAACATTAAATAATAAATTATGTTTGACCCTCGGTTGGAGACGGTTTTTTGTGACAGCGCTAAAACAAGTCCTATGGCTCTTTGGCCATCAGTTGGAGATGGAGACAAATATGACTATGTACTGTTCATTAAAATATTAATTTATTGGAGGGCCAGAGGGCTAAAACGAGCCATCTGGCCAGCCCTCGGTTAGAGATGGCCTTAGGACTTTCATAGGGATTTTTGGTGAGGCAAATGTTAGACATTTTGTCTCTAATCAAGTTTCCGCCGTACTGCGATGCTTATGGTTGATCGACGGGTGTCTTCGAGGCAATGTACATTTTAGCTAGGGATTAGTTTGAATTTATAAAAAAATTGCAAGCAACTAAAACGGCAATACCGCATGCACAAGGGAGCGCGCGCTATCTACGAGCAAAGCCATGCAATCCCTCGTCATCTCTCTCTCCAACCATCTTATAAAACCCAAAAGCAAATACCACGCCTCCTTCTGTTGCTTTCTCAAAACCTACAATTCATGGGCTTCCGCTATCCGAAATGCTTCTTCCCCCCACAATGCTCTGCACATCTACTCTCAAATGCACCGAAATTCGATTCCTTTCGATACCTTCTCCGTCCTCTTTACGCTAAAATCGTGTACCCAGTTGAAGAACCACGCAATCATTCAACACCTCCATGCCCATGTAATCAAACTTGGGTTTTGCTCGCATGTATTTGTGGCCACTTCACTTCTCCATGCGTACGTTGTTGTGTCGTTTGTGGATGCATGCCTACTGTTCGATGAAATTCCTGAGAAGAACACGGTCACGTGGAACACGATGATTGCGGGGTTTTCGAGGTCGGGGGATGTGGAAAGAGCGCGTTTGGTTTTTGAGGAAATGCCGTTGAGAGATGTTGCGTCGTGGTCCGCCATGATAGCTGCGTACGTGAACAATGGCAAGCATGAGTGTGGTTTATCGTTGTTTCGGGATATGGTGATGGATGAAGGTTTGAAGCCTGACCAAGTGAGTGCGGGCTCAATTTTATCGGGTTGTGCCCACTTGGGTTCTCTTGGTTTGTTGGTGGGGAAATCAGTTCATGGGTTTATGGCTAAGAACGGGTGGGAATTGAATGTGGAAATTGGTACGATATTGGTTGACATGTATGCTAAGTGTGGGTTTTTGAAGGGAGCTGCACAGGTTTTTGAATTGATGCAAGAAAGGAATGTCATGACTTGGACCGCTTTGATTTGTGGATCGGCACAACATGGCTACAGCGAAGCAGCATTGTCTTTGTTTGAGATGATGCAAAAGGCCAGTGTAAGAGCTAATGAACTGACCTTTACTGGAGTTCTGAGTGCTTGTGTGCATACAGGACTAGTTGAGGAGGGCCGGAAATATTTCAAGATGATCGAAGAAAGTGGCTTGGAGCCTAGAATACATCATTACGGATGCATGGTTGATTTGTACGGCAAGGCAGGACTGTTAGAGGAAGCTTATGAGGTTATTATGAAAATGAGTCTTGAGCCCAATGTCGTTATTTGGACTGCTTTTTTATCTGCTTGTAAGGAGCATAAACAGTTTGAGATGGCAGAACGAGTGGTTGAGCAGGTCATGAAGATGGTAAAACCAGAGAACGATGGTGGGGTTTATTCTCTTCTCTCGAATCTGTATGCTTTGGGTGGGAAGTGGGATGATGCAGAAAAAGTGAGGAATTTGATGAACAACCAACGTGTGAGGAAGGTCGGAGCATCTAGTATGGTTAGAAGTGGATAGCAGAAAGTTTACATTCCATCGGTCCTTGGGCAAGTTATGAAATCTACCTGGATTGTCCTAACTTGGGGTGAGCTTTCAATATTATTACATGGTTTACTTGTTTGAGCGACAATAATACATTGTTCGGAAAATAACTGGTTTGATTGTTACAAGTTCAAATACTGATGAGATATGGTGGATAGGATATGACTGATATCGATACTAATTTTCCAGGTAAATGAACGCTGACCTTCGGCACATTGATCAAATTTAAGCTGTCTGTATCACGTGCAAACGGTTGATCGGATTTGTCTCCTCAACGTACCATAGGAGTTACATTTTGTACTTTCTTGCAAACCAATTTGTTGACGTTTCACCCCTTTTTTTCCCACAATTTTTCTTTCTTAAGGGCAATCATTGTTGTTTTAGTGTACATATTGTATCAGTTATCAGGGAAAAAGAAAAAGGCATTAGCAGGAATTATCATTTTTTGACTTTTGGTTGCAGAAATGATTTGGTGTTGTTTTAGTGTACATATTCTATATCTTTGTTTCTTCACTAATACCGCAATGGGATCAAAAGAATTACACTCATCTGCATCCTTTATTAATTTGACTACTAAAAAAAGTAGAAACAACCAGAACACATACACCCACCAAGACGGACACAGGCAGGCACAGCCAGCAAACAACCAAACATAACCAAAAAGATTAATTCCTAGAGTCTAGGAATTGGCGTCGGCCACCATGGGAGTGCAAATGCGTAGGCCTCTCTCCAAGAACAGCTATCATATTGAGTCTTTGCAGCTATCTCTAACTCTAACCTTCCCCCACGGAGGTTGCTCATGACAATGTGTTCATTGAACTTGAAATACACGATATCTTGATTATTCGGGTGGAATCTTAGAATCTCAACCATGCAGCTTCTGTTTACCTGTTCAGAAAACAAAGGAATATCGTCGAAAGGCAGGGTAATTCTATCGAAAAACCATTCAAATTTCTGATCTCCCTCACTTGCCTCTTGTAGTTTCAGCTCCCAAACACTGAATGGATAATCAGCACCCAATTCGACCGTGCACATCCGCAGACACCCTCCGTAGACACCTAGATACCAATTCTTTACTCGTCCACCAAAAAAAGTCGCAGGCTCCTTAATGAAACGGCATTTAGCAATATTATCACCACTACTACTAAGGAATGGATTCAACTCCAATGTACATTCAGATAAATTCTGCACCCAATAAAACATTCCGTTGTGAGCACTGGCTGCGTATGGAGTAAAATCCAAATCATCGTTGTCGCATATGTGTTTTATTTGCTGTGGGTTAAATGACATAGCCAACTCTTTCCATTCACCACTAGTCTCAGTAGAGATCATCTCCACATGGTAGCTGCCCTCTGACCAATTCCGAATTAATCGCACAATCGTCCACCTATACGCAGTATTAAGATGGATGATATCAAAACTTGTACTGCTGCTGTCTTCTTGAGAGGAGTGGTTATAGTATGGATCACACATTCAATCTCACCATTGTGGAGTGGAGGGGTGGGAGGAAGAGCAACCCATTGCTTGGTGTATGGATTGCAGACGTCGTAATCCCCTTGAACCCAACCTGTTGCGCAGCACAAAACCAAGTCATTATATGTAGCTACCACAATTGGTTCTCCGTCTTCTTATCACCAAAACCCGGGAGGAAACTTAGAGAGAGATTGCTTGTTTGGAACACTGGAGAGTTGGACGTTGTAAAGACTTCAGTTTTGCGCTCCTCCCTATCGCCAAAGGCAAATACAGCTAGAGTACTTGGAATAGGCTTGTGTCGATTTCGTTGGAGACATAGAAAATGGCCAACAAAAGAAGGATCAGAGATGAGATGGAACCAACGCTTCGACACACTTGTGCACTGAAGAACAACTTTACTGCAAGGAAGTCGACAAAGGGTTTCAACCAACAACGGGTCAGGAAGATCATCAATACAATTCTTCATGAACGATCAACTTGGTGATGATATCTTTTTGGTACCATTCTGCTGCGTCAATATTTACTTTTGGTACCAGTATCCAAAGAACGTTGATAGGGTTAGGGTTTTCGACTTTCGTAAGATCAGAGAAACATAAACTGCAAAGAAAGTTGGGGAAATTTATAATTTTATACCAATGCCACATAAACTTTTACTGATTTGCAAAGTATCACCTGAAAGAAAAATAAAGATTGCTTAAAGAATTCCGTTAAAATTAGTTATGAACTGTGCAGGTGGCTCAGTTTCTTGGGATTTAATTTATTCACTGATGAAAAAGCATAAAAAGATATATATGGGGCAAAGGGGCGTTGAGGGGGAGCGAAATGTGCATTCGCATAGGATCCCAAATTTGAAGGGGCCCTATCATAAAAATAAAATTGTTATTGATTATTTAGTGAAGGTTATGTTTGTAGATATTTTTACTTATCATTAAGGGCACTTGTAAACATGCAATCAGTGAGTGCTAAAGTTTGTTTTTATTATTAATTTTTTTGAACAAACGATATTAACTACACTAAGAGGGTGGGAGAGTGGGCTAAGTCTCACAATGGGCTACCAATAATGTGGTTCAAATTCGCCTTTGACGATAATTGAACCTAAGACCTCTCACTTCCAAGTGAAGAGGAATACTAATAGACCATAATACTAAGTGACTTTGTTTTGATTTAAGTGAATGTTTTCTAGTATCAATTCATTGTCATACTTTTTTTAAAACTTAAAACTATCTTAAGGAGAGCCCCTTTTACAAATTTCGCACAGAGCCTTCAAAATCTTAGAGACGGCCCTGATATGGGGTAATGACTAAGAAACACATGAATTCCAGAAAAAAAAATAAACGAAAAAAATATAATGGACTGCACACACCATGAACGAGCTCGCATGCTACCGGACTGAAATCTTAGTATCCCTGGGAGTGGGAGGTCAAGCAGAGAGATTTTGGGGAGAGGGAGGTCGGGAGATCAAGGAAGCTAGGTGTACCGGGGGGGGGGAGTTTGGAATATCTTCATGTGACATGTAGATATGGATTCAGATTTTAATCAAGATCCGATCCGAATTCAATATAATTAACTGGATATAAATTGAGATTCCCAGTTTGATAATCCATAGATTCGAATATTGATCAAAGCTTATATAATCCGACTTAATATAACATCTTATTTATTTTTTATATAATTTAATAAATAATTTTAATCCTCAGTGGTAAAATGGAAGTCTAATACTATGTGAATTGTTTTTCTAGTGTGTGTATTTTTTGTTCTGTAGATAAGGAAGAAGACTACGACATTTATGGCCATTGATCACCATAAACTTCTCAATTCCCTTTCTCTTTCTTTCTGGTCCCCACTTAACCGATCATCTATGTTTTATTCGTTTTTGGCTCCCATTTTAAATTGGAGAAAATTTTGTTTGTGAGCGTAACATTGTCATTAGCCTACGTGTTATAATATTAGTGAGCGACAAGTTTATATTTCAGGATATAATACACACAAGTTATAATATGGATGAATTATAATATTATGTAACGGTGTAATGGTCACACGGAAAAACTATTCCTTAAATTGTTAGTGCATTGCCCTCAACCAACTCGTATGATATCATGCGAGACATGACCAAATCACATCCATCCCCAAATTTTGGGCAAACTTTTACTGGTAAATTGTAAGGGTATTTTAGGAAATGGCGTAGTGACATTGAAATCGATATCTTTAGTGAGTAGTGATTTTCACACTCAAGAGACATAAATAAACTTGGGCATATAGGATAAATGGGTGTGTGAAAATAATTTCTCTTATTCAATCCTAAAGCTAAGAAAAAGCGAAGAGCGCAGACGGGAAAATGAGTGCGAAAATCACTTCATTTTGATAAATAAACTCAGGGTTAAAACGGGAAATTCAAAAGAACAGCTTAAAACGACCAATCCACCCCTAACCAAGGAACCAACTCGATAGGGCTCTCCCGAAGCTATAAAATCAAACGTAAAATCCGAATTTCGCCCTTTTCGCATTTCGCAAAACCCTAAACCCAAGAGCAAGAGAGGCAAAGGCGGTGCAGACAGAATGGCGAAGTCGATGAGATGCAAGAGAGAGAAGAGGCTGAGAGCCATTCGGAGAGAGATGGTGGAGCCCTACTACGACAAGAAAGACGAAGCTAAGCTCGCTGCCCAGGAAGCTGCCCTCGCTGCCCCTAAGCTGCCCGTACGGCCCCCGCCTAAATCCACCTCTGCTATGGAGGTCAACACCACTGACGGCGCCTCCGCATCCACAAGCAACATGGGTATGCTTTCTTTTGCTCGATACCCATTTCAACTTTGTGCTAAATTCACTTACCCATGTTCTAATTTGTGCTTAATTTGTTGGAAATTATGTGGTTCCACCCGTTTTTCTTCATGTTTTTAATACCCATTTGCTAGTTTTGCTTGAATTTTATCAATCCGCTTGCTTTTTGTGACGCCCTGCTCTTGCAATGTGATATTTCGATATATATTGATTGAAAAAAAAGAAGTTAATTGTAGCAATATCACTTCAACTTTAATCAAATTGCAGTCCCTCAACTAAAAATCCATTACCATTGGTCTCTCAACTCATCAAAATGGGTAGCTATGGTCATTTTCGTCAACTTCGTCAGAATTTTGTCAAAATAAGTTATTTTGGAAGGATCGTTACTACAATTAGGGTTCCTCAACTCATCAAAACGTGGAGCTATGGTCTTTTTTGTCAAATTCGTCATAATTTTGTTAAACTGAGTTATGTTGGAATGACCATTGCTACAATTAGGTTAAAGTTGAGGGATCATTCCTCCAATTGGGTTAAAAGTTGAGGGGCCCATTTCTCCAATTGGATTAAAGTTGAGAGACCAATGATAATGAATTTTTAGTTGAGGGATCTATGTTCCAATTGAGTTAAAGGTGAAGGATCATTGCTATAATTTACTTAAAAAAAAGGTCTTTTATTGCTAGCTCTTACCATATATGCATCCAAAGATTGACAGATAGTACATGTTTTCTGATGGAATTATAATTTAGGGGAAAAAACTGAAATTTAATCAGCAACAAAAGGAAAAAACAAAAATTCTTTTCAGTCCCACAATTTCTTTACAAAGTATAAATTGGACTTCTTGTGAAGAGTGATCTTTTGGTTGTAAAAATAACTAGACTAGGTTTATATTTCCGAAAGATACTATTTGAGAAGTGAGTTAGCTGGCTTAAACAATAGGCAGAAGCTTTTACTTTTAGTATGAAACTTTCTTGGAATTAAATTTCAGTTTACAGCATGATTCCGATGCTTGGTTAATACAGGTAGTCTGAATTCACTTGTAACGTAGAATGAACAAATAGGCAAACAAACAACTAGAATTAGATTGGGCCGGGGTGCCTTGTTTCAGCAGTTTATTTCAAGCTACGTAGAATTTTTGTTTCTGCATCCCTTGGTGTTGGATATCTGCTCTAACTTTAACCAACTCGTGTCTTCAGAAAGTTTCTTAAGCGAGATAAAAGAGTAGGTCATTTGGCGGGAATTACTGGCAACATGGGTGTGTAGCATAATTAATTAATAATATACATTCTGTCGATCACACATTTGGCTAGCTCATTTTCCGAAGAATTTTTAAGCGAGTACTTTTTGTTATTGTTTAGGTTGTATTCTAATGTTCTTATTCATAAATGTAATTGTATGATGCCTGCATCTTTTATGTTTATAGTATGCAGGCAAGACTTGATTTATCAAGTTTGAGTGTTCTTGTTGAGATGCATAGCAATTTGCAATGTTATTGACATATAGTACTTTCTAGCTACTCAGCATCAATTTTTTATCTGTCGGCTATTTTCAAGTTTAACCGTCTGGATGTATTCTTCGAATAGATGTGGACATGGATGCTGTCAATGAAAGAATAGCTGCATTGAAGCCTGCTGGTGGGGTATGTAAGAAATCCAAAAGGGTGTTCAAGGTGGGCAAAAGAAGGCGCCACGGCAAGGGAGGAAAGGTAAAGAGGCGTCATATTTAACTCTTTGAGAGAAGATCAGAATGCCCGGTTGTAGCCCAATGTGATAACGTTGTCTTTAAGGCCGTCTTGTATTCGGGTCTTATTTTATAGATATTTGAGAGTTGTCATCTGAAAATTGTAATCGAGCACATGTCATATGTTAACTTTGGATTTAAGCGGCACTTTTGGATGATCTTGTGTTGAAATTACCCTTATTCTCTAGGGATCCAAATTGTTAATGCCATTTTGTTCTGACGCCTCTGTGCGCAAACACTTGAGATACAACTCTCTTTTAAATTTGGTTCTATAAGTTTAACTTTTGGGTTTTTTCATGTGGTATTCTAATCTAATTTAAAGGAAAACTAACAAAAAGTTTATAAAAACTTTAATTTTAATGAAAAATGACAAATAAATGTGTAGTTGTACCAGAAAAAAATATAAAAACATAAATTTTCGTTAAAAGTGAACAGTACCAGAAATGTTTCGTTAAAATATCTAAAAAAAACTGGAATCAATCAATTTGGTATGCCGCCGTTTTCTTTTACCTCTTGTAGCTCTCAAACCCCCAAAAAGGCGGAAACCCCACAACCAATTTCCCGAAGATTAAAAAAACAGCAGAAAAATAAAAAGACTTTTGGGGTGCGTTTGGTACGCAGACGGGACTGGACGAAACGGGACGGGACGGGACGGAACGAAGGTGTAATTTTTGAAAAAGACATGGGGTATATTTGTCTTAAAATGGTAAAACATTGTGTTCCACAGACGTGGAACAAACCCGTTCCAGGGGGGGAGGTGGGACGCAAAAACACCCAAAATCTGTCCCGTGGAACAACCCATTCCACCCATTTTTGGCGCACCAAACGCGGGACGGAACGCCTCGTTCCGTCCCGTCCCGTCCCACGTACAAAACGCACCCTTGAGGACTCATCTAGGAATTTAAAGATAATTTTTGTCTCAGTAGAGGTATATTGTCTCCAATAGAATTTCTATTGTATAGACCTTGAATTTGAGGTTTATATAATTATATTTGATAATTTCATTGGAAGCTAATTTTTTTGAGAATTTTAACGAAAAGTTTTCGGTACTGTTTACTTTAACGAAAAATCATATTTTTACACTAAAAAGTCAATCCTGGTACTATTCATTTACCTTTTATTTTGTCCTTATCTTTAAAATTCAAAATTTTCAAATCATTTTCATCAATTTCTCTAATTTTTTTTAGTTAATTTGACTTGTGCGCTGCGGGACCCATGCATGCAGATGGCTTAGCAACCATCTAGCGAGTATTTGGACACCTGCGCGTGTGAAGGAAATAGAGAAGTAGCTGCACCACAACTTTCATGTGGGTGAACCTCCCACTCAAAACTCCCATTGGGCTCCACTAGTTCCGTCCCCATACAGTTACTATGTCCGAGGTCTTGCCTCATGTATTTGACGAGTCTTTATACTTTAGGGACTTAATTTTTAGTGTATTGGAGAGGGCCTTGTTCCTTATTTATAGGGTAATACGAGGTTTTTTTTGGGGGGGGGGGAACTCATTTGAGGACAGTACAACAACAACAACAACAAAGCCTTTTCCCACTAAGTGGGGTCGGCTATATGAATCCTAGAACGCCATTGCGCTCGGTTTTGTGTCATGTCCTCCGTTAGATCCAAGTACTCTAAGTCTTTTCTTAGAGTCTCTTCCAAAGTTTTCCTAGGTCTTCCTCTACCCCTTCGGCCCTGAACTCATTTGAGGACAGTGCTTAAAAGAAATTCAAAGATGAAGTGCAAAGGAGGAAACATGCCGCTTTAGAGCAACTCCATCCCAAGAAAATTGCTAATAAATAAAGAAAAATCAGAAAATAAAATTCAAATTTACTGTTGGTGACATGGCACAATATGTGCTGTTGGATTGCAAAACAAATGTAACCCAATGATCCAATTAACAAAGTTTGATAAAAATTAGTTAAAAATTATAAAAAAATCAGAAAATTAAATTAAAAATTATAAAAATACAGGATCATGAAACATGATGCTAAGAGATTGGTTAAAAGTCTACTTGAAAATCTATCCAGATAATAACATGTGACGGGACGAAATTGATTAAAAATTACATCCGAAATTAAACATAAAATTATCTTTTATTATTTTATAAAAAATAGTATTGTAATACAAATTGTCTTAACAAATCATTTTAGAGATTGAGGCCGTTACTGTTCACTAAGGCAATAATTACCTTAGCCCAATACATAGTAATTGCTTGGGCAATTTGACAGGGGTGGAGTTGCTCTTTAACTTAGTCAACTTGATTACAGACAACCTTAGGCTTGTTGGACTGTTGGGTTTAGTTGCATCCGGAAGAAATGAAAGCTATACCAATGCAAGTAACAAACACGACGGTGTAATTGAAAAGAAGAAAAGGATTAAGCATATAAGCAATTGTGATAAAAGAACATCACGATCGATCAATGAAGTTGACCAACGATCTCTTTGTCCAATGAGATGCATGCAGTGGGTAAGTCGGTTAAATTTAAAGATTTTATTTTAAGTTCTTTGTCGCTTTAAGCACTCAAAGTTGCCTTGTAATTTCATTCCCCATTGACTATTCTTGAGGAGAATTAATTGAGATGTAGACATTTTTAAGTCAAGTCTAGCTCTGATTCCATATCCTGGCTTTTTGTTTAGTACTATTCTCCCTGAACATTTGACCTTTTCAGCAGAATATATGGTTCGGAACTGAGGCTCGTAATACCATAGGAACTTAGACAATCAAACAAATAGATGGGGACTGGATATGCCTGCACATTTTACGATCATATTATGCATAGTAATTTCATTGGCATATTATTTTCTTGCTACTCAGCATCGATCAATTATTTTATCTGTCCTTGGTTTTCAAGTTTAACCATCTGGATGTTGTCTTGTTCTAATAGAAATGGACATGGATGCGATCAATCAAAGAATAGCTGCACTGAACCTGCTGGTGGGAGAAGAAGGCCAAAAAGCGTCACATTTAACTCTATGAGAAGATCAATGCCTGATTGTAGCTTATTGGGATAACAGTATCTTTAAGGTTGTCTTGTAATTCGGGTTTATTTTATAGAATATATATGAGAGTTACCTTCTGAAAATTTAATCTAGAGCCCTTGTCATATTTTTTAAGGAAAACTAATGAAAATGACTTTAAAACTTTGAGTTTTAACGATAAAAATAAAATAAAGGGTAAAGTGAAAAGTACCATGATTGATTTTTTAGTGTAAAAATGTGGTTTTTCGTTAAAGTAAATAGTACCGACGGCTTTTCGTTAAAGTTCCCCATTTTTTAACTTTTGAGTTCGAGTAGCGTTGTTATGGACGATCGTTGAAATTATCATTCTCCTGTGGGTTTTTTTTTTCTTCTTGTAGTGTTGTGAATGCTCGTAACTACTCGACTCGAGCTATAGTCCTCTTGTGTTAGATTAGAATATTGCTCAAATAAACGAAAAAAAGGCAAAGCAAAGGCCGAAGAAACCCAAAAAGTTCAGCCGCTGGAAATAAATAATCTTAACTACGTGGAAGGAGATTTGAAATGGCTCCGCTGTGGCTTAATTTAATTATGCAACCTTAGACTTCGTGAAGTAGAAAAGAAGAAAAGGATTAAACATACAATTATGATAAGAGTACATCACAGTCGTTGGAACTGGCCTCCCCCCAATAGGCTCATAGAATTTTATGATCTTTTGCTTATTATGTGTGTTTTACCTTCTTTGCCCCCTTAAGCACTCTAACTTGCCTTTTTAGGTCAGCCATTTTTCTTGACCATTCTACAGAAGACTTGAGATGTACAATTTTTAAGTCAAGTCTTCCTCTTATCCTATATTTTCTTTCTTCTCCTTGTCCAATTGACCCGTTCTGCAGAAAATATGGTTACAAACTTGACTTAGGAAAATGGAAAATTTAGAACAAGTAATTGTTGTCACATTATTTTTGCTTCAATTGAGAGAAATAATGATTAGAAAATTAGGTTTTTATGATTCTATATGGATGAGAAATCACATCCAGAAATTTGTGAAAAATAAAGATAATCAAAATGAGAACAGAAGAGTAACAAATTATATTGGATTGAGGGCTTAAAGTAAATTAGAGATATAATTTCTGCACATTTTATTTTTATTTTGTACAACCATTAGTTTATGCAAATCATAAGCCGATAGTGTGCGAAAAGTACAAAATGGATACGTAAATCATTCTCAAATTTAAAATGTCAATTTAATTTTCTACTCAGCCTTTACTTGCCCCGCATTAAATATGACTTGGTTAAGCTGATACCAAAAGTTTAAAGTAATTTTACAAACATATTAGTGTGATTACATATTCAAAACATCATCCAATATAGTTGCACCTAACACATAAAAATTTTAATATGCTTGCTTCACTGTGCTTTAAATATGAATATTCATATTGCTAAAAAAGTCTAACATTGATTACCTCATATAAAACTAGTTTAATTAATTAATTAATGGGAAGTCTCTCTCATATACCGTATACATTGCTTAGCTTGGTGTGCTTTCATTGTTGAATCTTGAAGTTTTCAAAGCACGTAAATGTAAGTTCCGAATGGAGATTAGTTTTGAAAGGACAAAAGATTTATAGTTAAATATATAATGATAACATTGATAATTATATATTTATATAAAAGAGGTTGAACTCGTGCATGCAAGTGTCATGCATTTTTTTAGCTACATAAATGAAACTTGCTAATTATATAAAGTATTGATCACATCTTTCAATCTCACTTCCTTTCATATGGGGTGGCATTAACTGCTGCGCATGTTACTAATTCGATTATTATATATATTTTATTTAAAATACATTTTAAAATATAAATTTATCATTCATCTATATTAACGTCATATATCATGCGAATTTCAATTTCAACAATAAGTCTATAATATCATAGATTTGTTCATATTTATATAAAAGAGAAGGGTCATAGATTTACGGTTCCTATATGAATTCCACCCACACCAATTAAATAAATTATCGTTCATCCATAATGTAGTCTGATAACTAGCCTTATGGGTAGTTCGACTTGTCTAATTCATTATCATTGTTTCATTAAAAAAAAAAATGTTCTAATCTTTACTATCAGAGAATGTGTTAGTTTTTTATGTTTAACATTAATAAGTACCTTCAAAATGAAGTAAATAAAGTTTAAATAAACATTTATCAACCAAGACACATTTTTCTCCAATCAAAGAATTAAGTAATTAACGACTTAAAATTCATGTTAAAATTTGTATGCCTTCTCTTTCCCGGTCTCTTCTCTACCATGCCAAGATTCCTAGCAGTAGAAGTGGTTCCAACGACACAGTCAACCACCCTCCTTCTCTCTCACCAGTCGTTTCCTTTACGTTAGAGATTGAAAGAGAAAGTTGAACCCTCTTCTTACACGACAAACAATCTCTCTCCCTCTGTGAACCAAACCAACCAAAACCTTCCTTATTATCTAGTCTTCTTCCACTCTCCCTCCACCCGTATACCGTTGCGAGGTCCATTCAAAGACACGCCCCCATTTTCTTCCACCTCCACCTTCTCTTGCTCTCAAACCCCCAAAACACAGAAAACCCGCTTCTCAATTCCCCAAAAAAACGCAGAGGAAAGCGAAAAATCTTTGCTTGCATGGCTTTTCTCCCAAAGCTCGCAGCTTTTTTCGTGGTGTTATTATCATTTTTTGAGAACCATGTGCATGCAAGGTTTGTGGTGGAGACGGGAAGCGTTAGGGTTCTGTATCCAATGAGCTTGCGCTCGAAGCACGACGGAGCTATCGGCAACTTTGGGCTGCCGGACTATGGCGGCTCCTTGGTGGGTGCTGTTGTCTATCCTGAAAAAGGGTCTTCCGGGTGTGAAGCTTTTGAGGGTGACAAGCCTTTCAAGTCGAAAAATTCTCGCTCCTCCATTGTTGTTCTTGATCGCGGAGGTAAATCAATCAATCAATAATTTCTTTACGCATTTATTAAATCTAAAAGTCCGAGCAAGGCGGTTTATAACTCAAGTGATTAAGAGCTTTTACAGAGTCGTGTTTTCAAATCCCCTCTCCCAATTTTGATTGTAGCAAAAAAATGTCTTAGTGGGTTGGCTTGAGATCATTTTCCATCTTTGTTAAGAATTTGATTGATGAAGATGCAAGTTCAAAAGAGTGTGCCTAGAAATGAAATTGGTAGACATTTTTGCATATGAAGATGCGTTTTTTTTTTCTTTTCTTTTTCGTAATTCGGATGCTTTTTAGGAGATCGTGGATTTGAGCGTACCTTCATGTGTTTGCTCTGCTTTGTCCCCTGTCCTTCCACTTTTCCTTCTATTTGAATCGACTTATCAAAAGTCTCTTACCAGTCTTCCTCTAAATTTCTTTTTGGCTTTAGCTTAACTGTTCAATAGATGTAAAGTAGATATTGGCTTCTTTGTATTTAGTAGTCCCTCTGTGCCAAGAGGAGCAAATTCTAGTATCCCGGTCTATCTCTCTCATCACATGATGTGAGAGATTGAGAGAAGCGGGTATATAACCCCGGTTGTATGGTAGAATTTCTCGTCAAACTTAACCTTGTGTATACTGTGTGTAAGTGACAGACTGAATTCTAACCGAGTCTTATGTTGACCAGAAAAACAGTTCTATTGGGATTGTAGTTTGAACTTTTTGCTATTGCACTTGTAGGTTGCTACTTTGCTTTGAAGGTGTGGAATGCTCAACAGGCTGGAGCCTCAGCCGTTTTAGTGGCAGATAACATTGAAGAGCCTCTAATAACAATGGATTCCCCGGAAGAGAGCAATGATGCAGATGGTTACATAGAGAAGATTGGAATTCCGTCAGCTTTGATAGATAAAGCTTTTGGTGATAGCTTGAAGGAAGCAGTAAAGAACAAGGAAGATGTTGTGGTGAAACTAGACTGGAGAGAGTCAGTGCCACACCCCGATCAAAGAGTTGAATACGAGTTCTGGACAAACAGCAACGACGAGTGTGGGGCTCGTTGTGATGAGCAAATGGCTTTTGTGAAAAATTTCAAGGGTCATGCTCAAATTCTGGAGAGAGGGGGTTACACGCTCTTCACTCCACATTATATAACTTGGTATTGTCCTCACGCATTTGTCCTCACAACTCAGTGCAAGTCTCAATGCATAAACCATGGGAGATATTGTGCACCAGATCCTGAGAGAGATTTAGGAGAGGGGTACCAAGGGAAGGATGTGGTGTATGAGAACTTGAGGCAGCTTTGTGTGCATAGAGTTGCCAATGAGAGCGGCCGGTCATGGGTTTGGTGGGATTATGTGACAGACTTCCATATCAGATGTTCCATGAAAGAAAAGAAGTATAGCAAAGAATGCGCCGAGGATGTCATGAAATCACTTGGTAAATCGCATGTTTTGCCATTTCTGCGTAATGTGTACAGAAAAAATGCATGTTTTCGGGCTTTAATAGCTTTAATCTGATTGTTGCAGATTTGCCTGTTGACAAGATAACAAATTGTATGGGTAATCCTGAAGATGATGTCGAGAATGCAGTGCTCAAAGCCGAACAAGAAATCCAGGTCATACATGCTTACTGTACATATATTTCAAAACCACAATGTTTACAAAGATGCATAGGCAAAATGGATTTGTACAATTGGCTTTTTTAATTTAGCAACAGGGTTATCTCATTTTTCCTTTTCTTTTTGTTATATTTAGGTAGGAAAAGGATCTCGTGGTGACATTACCATCTTGCCGACATTGGTTATTAACAATGCTCAGTTTCGAGGTTTGTCACAACTTTCGCGCCATTCTGTATTCACTTCTTTGTTACAGTTCGTCCTGTTACTCATGGACATAACTATTAATCTTGATTGATTTCGTTTAAGCTATTGCCAGAAACCATTCATTTCATTCGTTGAAATTTTTATACTAAATCAGAATCCTGAAGTTTGTTATTTAACTGATCTGAAGGAAAATTAGAGAGAACTGCTGTGCTAAAGGCCGTATGTGCTGGATTTAAGGAGACGACTGATCCTCCCATTTGTTTGAGTGGAGGTTGGTGTTCTTATTTCACTTTCCAGTCTATTCCGTTTCATATCTGTTTCTTGATGATTGAATAGCGTACTGATGTCTTTTCGTGTTCCTCTCCCTTCTCCCTCCCAATCCACCGTGTTATTTCAACAGAACTTGAGACAAATGAGTGCCTTGAGAGGAATGGTGGCTGTTGGCAGGACAGCCAATCTAATATAACTGCTTGCAAGGTATGCAGAAAATTTTACATTTGACGTTTATGGTTGATGCCACCTATGAAAAGTTCCTATGTGCATCACAAATTTTAACTCCATGCTAATTGGTTCCTTTTCTCAGGACACATTTAGGGGAAGAGTTTGCGAGTGCCCTCTAGTGAACGGTGTTCAGTATAGAGGCGATGGTTATACATCTTGTGATGGTAGATCCTCGATTTATTAAAATGCAGCAAAATTCTCCCCTTTATTAAAACATGTGGTTTTGGAAGAGAGTTACTCCTAAAACATTTACATTTTTCTTGGCAGCTTTCGGACCTGCAAGATGTGCGATAAACAATGGAGGTTGCTGGTCAGAATCTAGAAATGGATTGCATTTCTCGGCATGCTCAGTTCAGTGATCTTTATCATAATCTTTCACTTTATTAGTCGTTCTCTCCATTTTTTTTAATAGAGTTCTCTTTCTGTTTCAAGTGCTTAGACCACAAAACTCCACATTTGTTCTTATCAAAATTGATTTTTTTCCCTTTCGGTATACAAACAGAACTCTGAGTTATCCGGCTGCAAATGTCCACAAGGCTTTCATGGGGACGGTCATAAATGCGAAGGTGATTTGAGTTCCAGTGTGACCAATAACTATCAAAGAATAATTTTCTTACTGTTTCAGGGGATGGTCATTAATTTCTTCCTGTGTGATTTATATTCGTAAATCATGTTTTCATTCCTTCTTCCATTCCTTTTTACTGTGCATCAGATGTTGATGAATGCAAGGCGCGTACTGCTTGTCAGTGTGATGGCTGCAGCTGTAAGAACACTTGGGGCGGGTACAACTGCAAATGTAAGGGAGGTCAGCTGTACATGAAGGAGCAGGATACTTGTATTGGTAAGACATCACATCTGGGTCGTAATCACTAATTAATTGTTGATTGTCACTCGACAACGTTGATAGTGGGTATATTTGCAATCCTGCAAGACGTATGTCTAATAATTGTTCATCCATTTAAATGCAGAGAGACATGGATCGAGATTTGCCTGGTTTTTAACTTTCATGGTCCTCGCGGCTGTGTCGGCTGTTGGCCTAGCTGGTTACATCTTCTACAAATACAGGCTTCGAGTATGTTCTCCCTTGGCGAGCTCTATATATCTGTACTGGTTAATTTGTTTATTAAATTAGGAACTCGACCCTTGTTACAAAATTTTGCTTTCACTTGCAGTCTTACATGGACTCCGAGATCATGGCTATCATGTCGCAATACATGCCTCTGGACAGCCAGCAGGCCAGTCAAGTACATACCGCCGACTCAGAACCCCTACGACAAGGCTCAGTATAAGGTAACAAATTCTTTGCCTTTATAAGCAGTCTTCTTTCTTGTTAACAGTTTGTCCTTAAAAATGTTACTGCTATCTGCAGAAACACAAGCTAAACAACCTATTCCGGTCAAGGGCATCCGCGAGACGCTCCCTGCGGATACTTGACTCCATTTACTAGCTCATAGGTAAATCAGGAAAAGACGTTCGGATACAGTACACGATAGTATAGGATGAATTTGGGAGATTTCTGTATGTACGTATGCAGGAGATTTTCTTCCCATACCACTCTTTTCTGTGTGTAGATAAAAGTGCTCAGATGTAAATTTTGGTTTGAGGAAAAAGAAGGATCAATATATATATATATATATATGAAATTATAACGACATACATATATAAGAGAAAAATAAAATAAGACAGAAAAGGAGAAAGTTGTGTGTGTAATATGTATTTCTTCTTCTAAATATAATTTACAAAATCAATAGCTCATCATATTCTTGTGACTTGTGAGTGAAGGTTTTGGATTGTTTTGTATTCATGAATAACCATCATATGCTTGACAATTATCGTGCAAAGTAAATACCAAATCCATGAAAATTAATCGACAAATAAAGCATGAAATTAAGAATTACATATATATATATATAACAAAAGTATCATTTGGTAGCTAGTGGTTATATAGGCTTGTTTCATTTTTGAGTGCATTTTTGCTCACTCATATTAACTTCACCATGCATCTTATTGGCGGCCATGTGTACCACCTTTCAACTCTAGTAAGCTTTTTAGTTAAATTAGGGTTATTTTATACACACACCCCACAATTTTATGAAAACACCTCACATTCAAAAACTTTCTCGAAAATTCCATCTTTTTCCCTCATTCTTCTGAAGCCACCCCACATCCTCACCCAAAAACAAAAAACACGCCTGATAGTTGAAATGCACTCTCAGTTGTTGCTCTTAAGGTCTGAAACCTGAACATCTCAAATCAAGATGCGATTTCGTTGCCGAAAAGCCCGGAAATTTCGTTGAGATTTTGATTTTCCGACAATGTTTCAGAGTAATTGATGTTTAGAACTCCAATTTTGGTTCATATCTCTTGGTTTAGCGTTAAGTTTACCAAAAAAAAAAAAACTGAAAAGGGTTTGGTGCTTTCGGAGAGGCGGGGATTATGGGTGGGAAAGTTGTTTCTTATTAAAATCCCAGTCGCCCAATTGCCACGCCCACCAATCCAAAGCACAGATTCTCATCACAAACATTAAGAAATCAAATAAATTAACCAAAATCAAAATCAAAACTTTTGATTGCTACTATGTAAAGTCATAAGCTTGATTACAAAAAATCCGCAAAAATTCAAGCACTTTTAAGTGGGCAGACGAACTTGAACAATTACCAGCGAGAAGATTGAGTGTGTCGGACCAACTCGTGTCGTGCACCTTTTAACTTTTAATTGCTTGGTACTTTTGTTGGTAATTGTTTAGGTTCTTCCGTCTACTCAAAACGTTTGAATTTTAGATGATTTTTCTAATCAAGCTTATGACTTTACTTAATTTGTTACGAGAATCTATGCTTTGGATTGGTGGGGTTGGCCAATGGGGACTTGGATTAAAGGTGAGATATTGGAAGGAATTAACTATGTACACAAGGGACAGTTGTGTCAAGAAATGTAGGGAAAATGAGAGAATTGACAAATTATGGAAACTTATATGAGCAAGTTGCAAATAAACTCTGACTTTAGAGGCGGAATAGAAAACGACAGCGTTTGTGAAAAATGAAAACTTTGGCTCAGAGAATGTAATAGACAACAAAGGTGGGTAAAATGAGACATTTGACTATGTTTTCACATTAAATCATGTAATACATGAAAAAAAAATTTGCCCAATGAAAATGGTTTGTGTAACAAAATATTAAATGTTGTAAATAGTATAATATGTATGCCCACATGCATACAGTAAACATGTCATATGTTTAACAGTGTTTTTGTTTGTTTCCATGGTGATGCTCTATAAATAGAGCTTTACGAATGTTCAACAAAGCAGAGAGAAAAAAGGAAAAGAAAATATCTAAGAGCAATAATATACATTACTTCCTCTGCAACAGCTTGTGTTGGTATATACTCTGCAACTGCTTCGTTCCTATCCCGAATAAAGGTTATCTCTCTATAACTTTTACATTTTTATAACATTAAACAAATAAATCAAATTTTTGGGTGACTCAATTTCGTGACAAGATTTTGACTTTTCAATTTTTTGATTTTGATTTTTTTTTCAAATTTATGTTTATACAAATGAAATCTTTGAAATTACGTCGACATGCGCTTCTTGCCATTATACAAGATTAAGCATTTTAATGGTTTTTTTTTTTTTTTTTTTGATCAAAGACGATACATTTCATTAGAAGTTCCGAGAGAATACGAAGAGATAACAATTGCATTCCAGTTTCCTCAACTAATAAATCTGTAATGAGATCTAGAGGGACCTCATCCCACTTACAATTATTTCTCGAGAGAAGAGCGGTACGCACTAGACGATGAGCAATGCCATTGGCTTGACGATGGACATGGGTATAAGAAACTCCAGCAACCGTTTCTATTAACGCCTTCGTGTCTTCAATGATATTCCCAATCACAAACAGATTAAAAGAAGTGTCACAAAAGTGACAACAATATGAAGAGAATCGCTTTCAATAGTAAAGTTGTGAAGTCCCTTTTGCATCGCCAAAATTAAATCGTCTCTGGCTGCCATCACTTCCGCTTGAAGAGGAGAAAAATATGATCGTACCTTCTCGTTGCCGCTGCCACAAAACCACCCCGATCATTCCTAATTATGATTCCAACTCCCCCCAATTTGAGATGATCATTCCACGCCCCCCAGTTTTAAATCCAGTTATCTAATTATTTCAATCAATCTCATTCTTTTATATAAATATATTTCAATTTGCGCTTACCAATAATCTATCAATTTCTCCGTCAAATTAATGTTATTTTTGCCTACTCAAGTTTTAAAAACCAACTGAAAATTAGTTAAAATTCACAACCGAAGGCAAATTGGCAGAACCAAATTGGAAAAAATTTCCAATAATTCCAGACCAAAAAAAAAAACAAAGGAAAACTAATATACAAACTTGAAAACTTTGAATTTTAACAATAAAGATAAAATAAAAGATAAAATAAATAGTATTAGAATTAACTTTTTATTGTAAAAATATGAATTTTTTGTTAAAATGAAGAATAAGGAACTTTTGGTTTAAGTTACCACAAAAACAAAGATGGTACGGTAAAAGAAAAAGAAAGCGCAAAACATGTCTTTTCTCGTACTCTCTGCGGTTAAAAGTAAAAACACTGAACAGAGGCGGAGACTGTCAAAGTGGATAACGTTCTGCCCAGACTCCTACTTCACTCTTGTTCCTGCTGCTCCTTCGCTTCCCTGTTGCTGCTATCAACTATGTCGTTGGAGTTTCAATCCTAAATCTCTGTCGTCTCTTCTCTCCGATGGCCTCTTCTCTTCCTCTCCATCACCCCTCCCACTGTCTCATCTCCAATCCACTGGTCTCTCTCTCTCTCTCTCTCTCTCTCTCTCTCTCTCTCTCTTATTTTTCATATTTTTCTGTGTTATTAATTTTGATGTATATGTGAAGAAGCAGTTTAGAGGTTCCAACAATGGATGCTCCCCAAGACCCAGAAGCTATTCCCCCACAAAAGACACAGAAAAAGGCGTTCGCTTTCAACCCATCAAAGCAAAAGCAGCCACGGAGGCTCCTCCATTTTCTCTCTTTCAGCCTCCCAAAGATGAGGACTCTCCCTCTGAGGTAATCTACCCATTCTCCCACTACTTTCTGTTGGTTGCTAAGAAAGTGTAGAGATAGAAATTAGAAACTTCAGCAATTTTCATATTGTTTAAGGTTTCATTTGGTTAACTACTGATAACTGAATCTTCCCAAGTTTTAAATTGTAAGAATATGTGTATGTTCAAGTGCTTTATGTTCATAAGAAATCAGAACAGCATATTTTGTATGTAATTCAATCCAAATGGAGCTATATTGTTCTGTTCTACGTATGCCCTTTAAATAAGGATTGATTTTCTTGTTTTCGATTCGTTACTAAGACGAAAGATCATGCCTTTATCTTCTAATACCTGCAGTTGGAGCCAGCGGACCCCGATTTCTACAAGATAGGGTATGTTAGAAGTATGAGAGCATATGGAATCGAATTTAAGGAAGGGCCAGATGGGTTTGGGGTTTATGCTTCAAAGGATGTGGAACCACTTCGCCGGGCTAGAGTGAGTTATTAATTCATTGCAGTCTGTCAAGCTAGATGCACAATGCCGAATTTAGTGTCAGTGTCTATGATGGTTTCACTGTCCTTAGTTGTTGATTAAGTGTTCAGTTTCGATGGCTTGTTTTTGGTATTAATGTGTTTTTGTTCTCAATTTCCTTAGGTAATAATGGAAATTCCTCTAGAACTGATGTTAACCGTAAGCCAAAAGCACCCATGGATGTTTTTTCCAGATATAGTACCAGTGGGTCATCCAATATTTGATATCATTAACTCAACCGATCCAGAGGTAAATGTGTTTCACTTAATTTCAGATATCAAGGATTTACTGGAGAAGTTCATCAAGTATTCTAGTACTTCTTCAATTTGTTTAATGGGCAATAGCATTTTCTTCAAATTATGAAATGACATTCATTCTATTGCCTTCATTTTTGTGGCAGACAGATTGGGATCTGAGGTTAGCATGCCTTCTTTTGTACGCATTTGACAAGGAAGATAACTTTTGGCAGTTGTACGGTGATTTTCTACCCAGTGCTGATGAGTGCCCCAACTTGCTTCTAGCTAGTGAGGTGGATAACTTTACAGAACATAATTCTTCTTCATTGTTTCTAAACATTTGTGTAATTTATTCTCGTTTATTTTCTTTGACTGGATCCAAATAAGATTTGGATCCAAGGCCTTGAGTGTGCCTGATGTTGAAGGCACATCCATAGCTGTGATACAGTTTTCGAGAATGCATCCACAGTTTTTGGCCTCTTGAGATTTAGATCCAAATAATCTTGTTTTTCTTTGCTTCTGCTCCATATATGTTATAGGAGGAGCTTTCAGAACTGCAGGATCCCAATCTTGCTTCAACTATGAGAGAACAGCAACGCCGAGCCCTGGAATTTTGGGAAAAGAATTGGGTAATTATCAGTCTGTATATCTTTTACATCATCAATCGTTCTAGTCATCAATATTCTGCAGAAAAAATTGATTACCCTCAGTTTTAACTCATTATGCACATGCTTGTATGTGTGCTAATTGCTAAACCTCAATCAGCACTCGGGTGTACCACTAAAAATTAAACGCCTTGCTCGTGATTCTGAGAGATTCATTTGGGCTCTGAGTATGGCACAAACACGATGCATAGGCATGCAAATGAGAATTGGTGCACTTGTTCAAGATGCAAATATGCTAATTCCTTATGCAGGTAAATTTCTATTCTCTTCTAATCTTCCAAGTTTGATTATAATTTCGCTCTCGCGAATATATATTAAACTAGATGTAATATTGCAATTGTGAGGGGAGAATCAAGAACTCATCTTTGTTATTATATATTATATTCTTTGTTGTTTTGCTCAAGTAACATGTTAATTTGGTGAAGAAACAACCGTGTTCAATGGACCATTCGTTTGCTACAATTTGCTACAATTTTCCCTTTTATGTTATTAGGTGGCTGTCTAATCAATTTGCTACAATTTGCAGACATGCTAAACCATTCGTTTGAGCCAAACTGCTTTTTTCATTGGCGTTTTAAGGATCGCATGCTTGAAGTGATGATAAATGCTGGAAAACAGATTAAGAAAGGTGACGAGGTAATGTCTATTCTATTTGATCAATAGGCTTTGATAAATTCCTTTCAAATTTAAATGTTTGCAAGGATACTTACGCAGGGACGAGTTTCATTTTTTGTTAACCTGACTAACAGTTGTCATGAGTACACTGTGTTCAGCCATCCTTCCCAATTCAAATTCTTTCTCCTTCGGTTTTTGTTTTTTCAATATTTCACCCTCCCTCAAGTTACCGTTAACCCACAAAATCAAATAACAAATTTAATGCCATGATAAAAGCCTACGATTGGTTATCCATAATATTAATGTAGCACATATATGAAGATGATCTGCTACTAATTTGGAGGTGTATTACAGATGACCGTCAATTACATGAGCGGACAACAGAATGACATGTTGATGCAAAGATATGGATTCTCTTCTCCTGTGGTAATGTTCTCTTGCCTAGTAAAAAGAAGTGTGTATATGTATATATACTTTATTTACTGATTTGAATTGTCAGTGTAGTTAATTGGAGTAACATAATAGAAAATGGAGTTATTGGTCAAGCGGAGGAATAATTTTTTTTTCCACGAAAGAAATTTGTGTTTAAGGTTGATAGTTTAGATTAGTACAACACTTATGTACTGTAATGGCACTCTCGGTGCTCTGGAATACTGAATCATGAGTGATTAGTTTTTGAGTATCGGTTTTTGTAGACATGAAGACGGGAGTCATGATTTAAGACCGCACATATAATGGATATGAAAGCACAAATTAAATCTAGACACCGAAAGGCACAACTAAAAGCTGTGTCTGCTGACTTTACGTATAAGATTCTTGACTGTAATGCATAATGTACCCGAAAACTCGTGCTTCAGATTATTTTCCTGTTTAGGTTAAGTATGATGAATATTTGAATATATAGATTCAGTAATTAGAAGCATCATGGTGTCATTTGTACTTTTCTAAAATTGAGTGCTCTTTATCTGGCTTGGAACTGCAGAATCCTTGGGATGTGATTCCGTTCTCTGGAAATGCACGTATTCATTTGGATTCCTTCTTGTCAGTATTCAATATATCCGGACTTCACGGAGAGTACTACCATAACAGTATGAGGCATTTGAATTCTTTCTGTGGCTTGTTCTGTTTAGATTTGTAGTCCTTCAAACCTAACAGCATTGTAGTTAAAAGATCTGTATAAAAATGTAGCAGGTCGACTATCTAATGATGGAGATACTTTTGTTGACGGAGCGATCATAGCAGCAGCAAGAACATTGCCCACGTGGTCCGATGGGGATGTGCCTCCGATCCCAAGTATGGAAAGAAAATCCGTGAAGGAATTACAGGAAGAATGCCGACAGATACTTGCAGCGTTTCCTACTAACTCTAAGCAGGACCAAAAAATCCTAGGTAAAGTGAAACCGAGTTGCCATGTGATTTTTCTTGTAACCTATGTGCAAGATGAACTTTAATTTGACACCGGAAACTTATGTTTCTTCCCATCATACCCTATGCAGATTCAATGCCAAATGCTAGTAGGACGCTTGAGGCTGCAATCAAGTATGTAATCATGACATGATTCATACCGGAGCTTTTTGAACTGAAATTTACGGCAAACTACAACCACTGTCGATGATTTAACTGCTGATCTCGACCTGTGCAGGTATAGATTGCACCGGAAATTGTTCGTAGAGAAGGTCATGCAGGCACTGGATATATACCAAGAACGGATACTATTCTGATAAAAAGCTTACGAGTTTAGAAAGCTAGGAAAATTTTGTGGCATTCAATTGTGCCAAAACTATGCTGATTACAGCGAAGTTTATTCATGTTTAACATGTATGAGTTTGTGCAAAGATTTTTATATTTATTTTTAGTATGTCTTTTCTTCCCAATTGGGAGCAGCCTCTCCATAAATGGGGGTAAGGCTAGCTGACATTCACCTCTCCCAGACCCTGCGTAAAGCGGGAGCCTTGTGCACTGGGTACGACCTTTTTTTATGTCTTTTCTTCCCAAATCGTGGCTGGTTAAGTAAATCCTGAAAAACACTTAAAAGTGCTTCTTGGAAGAAGTACATAACTGGTGCTTCTTGTAGAAAGCACTTGAAGTGCTTTTGGAACTTAAAAACATTTTCTCTAAAAGTGTTTTCAACCCTTTTAAAGTCACATTCAAATGAACCTGTAATTGTAGAAAAACTACTTTACGGATTAACGATTATATGACAAAACTAGTTCAACATCTTCCACTTGTGTTTCTGTATATGCAAGGCAAGAATCCAACGTTGTAAAATAAAATTAAACGGAGCTTAAATTCTCAGGTTGGTAGGATTCACCACATAACAAATCGCTTTAATGTTTTGCTTAGTTACAAGGTCACGAGACAAGGATCGGCAATTACAAGTGTGACGATGTGAATGTAAAAGAGTCCCGCATCGATAAAAAGAGAAACCTTGTAAGGGATTATAAGAGGTTGGACTATTTCTCGTATTGCCAATTGATTTTATAGTGGAATTTGAACTTTCTTTATGATATCAGAGTAGGTTGCCCCTCAATGTCACCTAATTTAGGTTGTTCATGTATCTTATATCGGTGAAAGGAAAAACCTTGTAAAGGCTTTTAAGAGATTGTGCTATTCACCAAAAGTGTTTTTAATTATTTTAAATACACTTCCAAATAAACCTAAAGGTGTTTTGATGCAATTTGTCACTCAGTTAAAATATTTTGTATGTATTAAAATTTCAGATTGCATATTTTGTATGTATTAAAACTTCAGATTGCAAACACGAAAGAATAGAAGCACGCTGCTCGAGCTATTTTGGCAAAAATCTAAGTCGGTTAACATAATATATTTTGGCGAATGCACAAAACTTCAACATTTTTTTCAGGAAAAATTTGAATTCATTAAGATTAAATTAATCAAATAAAATTTAATTTATATATTTCAACATTTATTTAAGAACATAACGAGCGACTGTGGGCAGCATAAAGGCTTTCGTCGCAAAAGCGACAGACTCCAGCACCGCACCCTTCGTATACCGTTCCCATTTTCAGGTATCTCTCTCTCTCTCTCTCTCTCCGGTTCTAGTAGATAACAAGAATGGTTTGTTCATTACTGTTGAATCGTGAAAACAGTTAGGAACAGTTTGATTTGTGGGTGTTTTACACCAGGTAATTGTGCTGCACACCATATGTTTGATAAAATGTCAATTTGGTGGACCGATGAGTTGCACATTAGGTGTTTGATAAACCACTAGTTAAGATCGGTTTGATTTGTGGGTTTTCTATATATCGCCCTTTAATTGCATCAGTAGAGTAGCTGATTGAGTTGCACATTAGGTGTTTGATAAAATGTCAGTCTGGTGACTGATGAGGTAACAATGGCAGTGTCAATTGCAGTGTGGTATATAAGCACTAGGGTAGTGTCAAATTGTTATGGATAGTTTTATAACTGTGAAAGATTTGGAATTCGCCTTGTGGGTGGCCTCGTAAGGAAATTTGTAGAATCCCACAAATATTCCTCAAATACTGAAAGTTTGTATCTTTTTTGAATTGGAGAGGTGAAGCGAGATGGCTACTGGTGGTCTAAAGAGCATGTTGGTTGCGGCAGTCAGTACTGGGGTGACTGAGGCTAGGGCGAGGATATTCGGGCACATACTTAACCCAACCGGCCAGAGATCTGCCCATAAGATTTTGCGCAAGAAGTTGATTGGTGAGAAAGTTGCCCAGTGGTACCCATATGACATCAAGAAAGATGACCGCCGAATCATGGCTATGGAAGAACAAGAGTACTCTCTCTGCCCCTCCCTCTCTCTAATGTCTACTAAACGTCTGTTTTTATGTTTTAGTGTTGTATTCTTCAATGCAAAACTTGTGATTTCCGTAACAGATCACGATATTCTTTTTCCGCCTCTCATTCAAGTGTTGCAACTTATCGTTTGATTGATGTATTTCATCTTTGTTCTACATCCAAGTTAGCAGAATGTAACTTGTGCTGGTTTCATGATTTTGTATAATAACTGCTGGTAGTAGCTTTTGGTGACTAATAGTCCTGATGATTCTCTACTTGGTATCTTGCTAGGCGCTTATCCAAGCTCGAAATGTTGAAACGTCGAGGAAAAGGACCACCGAAGAAGGGTCAAGGAAGGCGTGCTGCCAAGCGTAACAAAAAGTAGTATTTTGACATGTTGGATTTGGTTCGTGAGTAGCGTTTTGAATAAGAAGAGACTACTAGTATTTGGACATCTTGTAACAATTTGTTCCTTAAATTCTGTTTCAAAATCCATTTTTCTTGCCCCACATTTGTACCGATGGTAACTATTATATGCGTGGGAATATATTGCTCAGTCAAAGATTTTGGCATCCAACGTTTTCCAGGCTTCAGCTGATATGATACAAGAAGATTTAAGAATTCAACCCGTTTTCGTTTGTCGACGATACTTGAGCAATGAATTTTGAACCTGTTTACTCATCTGTGATGTTAACCAAATCAGGAATTAACGATAATACAGGCTGAAAAATGACACAAACAAAACTCTCGTTGAAAATCAAGTTACCACGAAACCTTCGAAAAGGATTCTCGAGCATCAAGCTTGACGTGTATACAAGAGCTTCTGGGAACTTACACAATCAATGGAATGCTACCAAATTTACAAAATAATGTTCATTTTTCTCACCAATAATCTCCGCATGAACAAGTTCCATTTTTAAAGTGATGGAACCTTCTTACGTCTCTTAGAATGATCTCCCTGTCCGTAATCTTTGAGATATACTTTGACGCAGTGTGGCAGTCATTACAAACTCGAAGGTTCTTGGAAACTCTAATGGTAGTCCCGGGACGGGTATTGAGAATGCCAAACGCTATTGCCAGTTTCTCGCTATGCCCACAGAGTAGAGTTTCTTTCTCCTCCTCGTCAACATTGTGAAGTACACAAGAAGTATCAGGCACATAACCCTCCCTTTTCATCTTTTCTGACAGGGTTTCGAGAAATTCATGGAGCTGCCTGCTTTGTTGGTGTGACAAATCTCCAGCCAAAAACTTATGAACCTCATCGCCAAACTCAATCCAACTATAACCAGGTTCTTTTCTCACTCCCAATTCCCTCATCTTTCTCCGAACATCCATTGCCTTTTCCCAGAATCCGGAAGATGAGTAGATATTAGAAAGTAGAACGTAGTGACTAGCCACATCAGGCTCCAACTGCAGGAGATGATTAGCTGCAACTTCTCCAATCTCTACATTCTGGTGAATTCGACAGGCACCAAGCAAGCTACTCCAAGCACCTGCTTTATCGAGTTGAGAAGGCATAGAGTTGATGAATTGATATGCTTCCTCCACATTACCAGCCCGACCAAGCAAGTCTACAACACAAGCATAATGATCTGGTGCAGGTTCAATTCCATAGTCCTCTTTCATTTTTCGGAACAAATTCAGGCCTTCATCAACCATCCCAGAATGACTACACGCAGCAAAAAGTGCAATGAACGTAACTTCATTAGGCCTTACCTCTTTGTTTCGTCTTCCTTCATCCACCATATCCCTAAGTAGTTCTAATGCTTCCTCCCCTCTCCCTTGCATTCCATAAGCCATGATAAGTACATTCCAGGTGATCACATTCTTTATTGGTATCTGATTAAACACAGTTCTAGCTAAACCTATGCAGCCACATTTCGCATACATGTCAACCAGCGCACTTCCTACTGCAACATCAAATGCCAATAAGTTTCTAATAGCATAAGCATGGATCTCTTTCCCCTTAGCGAGTGCTCCCAGTGCAGCACAACCAGGAAGAATTGTCATGAATGTTATTGAATTTGGTTTAAGAGGAATACTTTTTTCATTGTCATAACCAGTATAATCTGTGTTCTTCTTTTCTTCTACTCTTTGCATATCACATAGCAGATTAAGCGCATCACCATGGCGTCCAGAAATAACATAACCAGTGATCATGGTATTCCACGACACTATGTCTTTTGCCTCCATGCTGTTAAATATGATTTCTGAAATTACTGTCTTTCCTAACCTGGAGTACATGTCCACAAGTGCATTTTGCACGTACCTGTTCTTCTCCAGACCCCTCTTTATTACATAACCGTGGATACTCTCTTTATCAGCGAATGATTCAGACCGCACACAGGCTGGCACAATACTCGACATTGTGGTGGAATTTGGGAAAAGCGCGGAGGCAGCATACATTTCAAGGAACAGTTTCAATGCCTCTTCATCGTACTCATTTTGTGCATAGCCAGTAATCATTGCATTCCAAAGTGGAATTTTCCGCTCCAAGACAGCGTCGAAAACTTGACGACCACTTCCAACTTGTCGGCAGTTGCAATACATGTCAACTAAAGCACTACCAACATAAGAATTTTCACTTAATTCAGTGGTTCTTAAGGCATAAGCATGAATTTCCTTCCCTGTATCTAACATCTCCAGATGAGAACATGCCGGAAGAACACTTGCAACTGTAACCCCATCTGGTTTGAGTCCTGCAAGAACCATAAGGCGGAAGAACTCTAATGCTTCCATAAACTGGTCGTTCTGAGAGAACGAACTTATCATTGTGTTCCACGAAACCATGTCACAGTCCTCAAACATCTCAAACAAAGCTCTCGAGTACTCAACTAATCCTAATTTAGCATACATTGCCAATAAAGCATTGATTGTAAATGTTTTCCAATCACTCACTCTCAGACCATACGCATGAACTTGCTTCCCAAGCCGCAACCCATCACGCTTATGCAAATTCGAACAAGCATGTGCCACACTCACCAAAGTAAAGGAGCTAGGCTCCATATTCTCCAATAACATCGACCTAAACGCATCGAGAGCGAGTTCCCATTCCTCGATCCGACACAACGCAGCAATCATGGAATTCCAAGAAACTTGGTCTCTGTCAGTTATTCCATCGAACACTTTGCATGCATCTCCAATATCTCCACATTTCCCATACACATTTACAAGGGTATTAGCCACGGTCACCGAGGATAACCCATACCCGAATTTCACAACATGGGCATGAATCTGTTTCCCCAAATTCAAGTCCTGAATCCCCGTGACGGCCTTCAGAACTGCAGGGAAAGCAAAGTTGTCGGGTGCCACACCTGAAAGAGTCATTTCGATGTACGTAGAAATGGCTTCTCGGAAATGATTGGACCGGGTTTGGGAGCGGAGGGTCTCGACCCATGTGGCCGGAGTGCGAGAGGAGTGGGATGCGAGTTTCGGTGCAGAACCGCCGCCCGTGGTGGTGGTGGGTGGGTTGAGTAAAGGAGAGGGCTTTAGAGTGTGTGTTTTGAGAGTTGTGGGTTGGTGGATTTGGAGGGCAGAAAGTGGTTGGGAAGGTAAGGGGCCAGAGAGAGGTGTGAGCAGTTGAGTGTAGGAGGAGGACATTTGGTAGTTATTACAGTTGGAGCAGTTACTGGATTGGTTCTAAAACGGAAAAGAGTTGCATAGTTCATGTACCGAAGGGATAAGGGTTGGGCCCACTTGATAGAATTTTATCTTTTTTATTTTCCCTTCATTATAATTTGACCAATTTTAAAATTTTATTTTGTGGTTTAATGAGATTTTCATAAATCAAACTATCCAAAAGAAAAAAAGACCTTCAATTTATGCTTGCTCACTTGTCTTTTCCCTAATTTTGTTACTCCATTAGTGTTTAAATGCAATTTGTTATATTCTTCAATTGAACTCAAATACAATTATCTGAACTCGAAACTTCTTTCAATAAGAAAAGATGATTTGCATAAGTACCATATGAACTTGTAAGTATGTGCGCTAATACCACCTAAACTTTTAATTTTTAATTTTTACCACCTGAGCTCTCTTAACTGTTGGAATCTACCACCTACGTTACTTTTCATCTATTTGTTGTTAAAACATGTCACACACCCTTCACATGGGGGTATATTTTTTTTTGATTTAATTCTCAAGGCTCGCTGGAATTAATTTGTACAAAGGCAAAAGGCATTGTTTGTGTAGCGGCGTTGGAGTCAAGTCATGAACAGAAATGAGAAGTTGATTTCGAGTTTAATTTTGGCAATGGTTGTTGAATAATTGAAGTGAAAATTGATTGCTGGCATCTACATTGGCACTAAGTGAAGAAAGATGGAGAATAATGAGTTCAGATTTGCTGGGGAACTCCCAAATTATGGTAAATACTGCATGTTTTAACGGTAAAAATGGATGGAAAGTAATGTAGGTGATAAATTCCAATAGTTAAAAGAGTCCAGGTGGTAAAAATTAAAAATTGAAAGTTTATGTAGTATTATTGCACATGTTACAAATTCAAATGGTACTTACACAAAATCCCTTAAGAAAATATACTCGTTGAGCATTTCTTCATTGTAGGACCATTCTCACATGTATCTACATATTTAAGTATGAGAACATGCACATTTTAGTATTTTGAACTCATTCGATGTCTAGAACTGGCAGACTCACTGCATTCATATGAAAGTTTATTTATGCATACAAACGTGAGTTTGGGCTCGTTTGATGTCTTGAACTGAATAACTCATTGTGTCTTATGAAAAGCATGTATGAGCACCCAGAAATGTGTCCTCATCCACACCTCTACACTTGGGAGCTCTTTCAATGTGACATACAACAAACATGCGGAACCATTCTTTCACATGTGTCTGCATATTTTCAACATGCTTTCTTATTATGTCACATGTTTTGCACACCCTTTTCATGGTATGGAAGCATCAACAAAGTTTGGCCTTTTTCGAACAATGCTTGGCTATTTAAAAACTCTATGTTTTAATCATAGACTTTGTGTTTATGATCAAAATCGTTTATATTATGATTCACATTGTAAAAAAATTATGCAAGAAATGAATTAAAACTAAAATCTTTTAGTCAATCTATTATAACAAATACATAAACAGTTTGTAATACTTTTTCCAATTCCATTCATCTGTTTTTATACAATTGATAACAAAACAACATTAGTATTATGAACGGTTCTGATCATAAACACATAATTCTATAAATTGACAACGAATCATTTTGAATAGAAATAACTACTCATCGTTTGAGTAATCAAGTAATATTGAAAGGACAAAACTTGGCTGCTTAATAGTTAGTAGGAAGTCCTGTTGAATAGCTACTATGGCTGCTTACCAGTTTGACACTTGTCCACTATTTTTCTCCTTTCTACAAAAATTATGTAATAATAAAACATTATGTAAAGGACCAAAATAACCTTATGCCCCGGTTCGATTTGTCTAGTCTTCTCCCTTTCCTATCTTTTGTTTCGCACAGACCCCAACTTTTCTTTTGTTCCTCTTCTTAGACAAAAGCCAATCCTCTTAATCATGTATTCTTTTTAATCTCCATATCTCATCAGCAACATCAGGTATATATGCACCCATTTTAATTTCAAGTTTTGGCAAATTTAATTAGTCGGTTTTTGATATTTAGGAATTATGACTCTAATTCTTGTTATTTAGGGTTACTGTTCTTTCACTTGTTTTTCAAGCATCTAATTTTCTTTTCATTTGATGCTTGTTCCCTGTACAATGTGCATATACAAACCCATAATCTATCATTTTGAAAAGTGGCTAATTCTTTTTCATTTATATGGTTCATTGGGTTGTGTAGTTAATCCAAAGTTGTCTTTTTCGATTCATCAATTTGCAAGCAATATGTTTTTTTTTTTTTAAATACTCATGTGGTGGTTGTTTAAGTTTAAAAACTCATTTGTTCACAATATTTTTGTTTTTCAGATTACTAGAGATGGATACTTCAGATTTAATCAATGGGCCATGTGGTGATTCCGGAGTTGATTTACAAGGTGAGCCCCAAACTAATAATCCACCTGCGAATAATCTATATAGACCGAAAGTTTATGTGGATGTACTTGGAAGGGAATTTAGTTCGTGTGATAGTGCATATAAGTTTTATGTAGATTATGGTGGAAAAAGTGGTTTCAATGTACGGAAAAATCACTAGACAAAAACAAGATGAATTTGGTGTCAGGAGTAAGTTATTGTTGCTCAAAAGAAGGTTACTGACAAAAAGACAAACTGCCTGAAGTTGTAACTTATTCGCAACCAATTTCAAGAGTTGGTTCCCGAGTACATATGACTTGTCTACTTCAGAAAAGTGGAAAATTTAGGGTTGTGTATTTGAGGAAGGTTATAATCATGATTTAATTGCAATACCAATGAAGCATATGCTTAAAATCAATAGAAGTATGTATGAGGCTCAAAAAGCACACGTTGATGATGCAGAAAAGGCAGGATTACCTATTAAAGCAACTGTGGACCTAATGAGAATAGAAGTTGGAGTCATGACAATCTTGGATTTTTGGATAAAGATTATAGGAATTATATACAGAGCAAGCGAAAGAATAAAATGAAAAAAATGAGATGTTGGTGCTATATTGCATTATTTTCAAAAAATGCACTCGAAAAACTCCTCCTATTTTTATGCAATGCAAGTTGATGATGATGATATGATCACAAACATATTTTGGGCTAATGCACATTCGGTAAGTGATTATAATCTCTTTGGTGATGTTGTGTGCTTTGATACCACTTATCAAACTAACGAATATGGTCGACCATTTGCACCATTTGTTGGAGTTAACCATCATAAGCAAGCTGTAGTATTTGGTGTAGCTTTGTTGTATAATGAAACTACAACTTCTTTTTTGTGGCTATTTAATACTTTTCTCTCAGCAATGTTCGGAAAACAACAAAGAACAATTCTTACAGATCAATCGGTTGCAATGTCAAGGGAAATATTTGAAGTATTTCCTGAAACTTGTCATCGATTATGTGTTTGGCACATTTATCAAAATGCAGCCAAGAATTTGAGCCATGTTTTTCATAGATCAACAGAATTTGCTCATGATTCCAGCACATGTGTATATGATTATGAAGATGAAAATCAGTGGCTACTAGCATGGAATAATATGCTTGAGAAATATAGCCTTCAAAACAACAATTGGTTTCATGACATATTTAACTTGCGAGAAAAATGGGATTCGGTGTATGGACGGCATACTTTCACTGCGGACATGAAGAGCACACAACATAGTGAATCTATGAACAACGTCTTAAAAAAATATTTGAAGCCTAAACATGATTTTCTACGATTCTTTGAGCATTATGAGAGAGTGTTGCCATATCGAAGATATCAAGAATTACTTGCTGATTTCATGATGATGGAGACTTGTCCTATATTATTAGCAAATGTAGAAATGTTGCAGCAAGCGGTGAAGGTTTATACCCCAGAGGTATTTAAACTTTTCCAAAAAGAGTATACATGCTTCTTGGTTGTAGTATATAGAGTATACATGCTTCTTGGTTGTAGTATTCACAAAATTGATAAGTCTGAGATGATTACGGAGTGCAGAGTATTTTTGTGCTAGTAAACGTCAATAACACTTGGTTAAATTTGAAGCTTCAACACAGATAGTTGATTGTAGCTGTATGAAATTCTCTTTTGTTGGGATTTTATGTGGTCATGCACTCAAAGCGCTTGATAAAAAGAATGTGAAAAATCCCCATCCCATTACATATGAAATCGATGGACAAAAGCGGCAAAGGCTAGAAGTATGAAAGATTACCATGGAGTGGGTGCTCATGATAATCCTAAAGAATCTATGGGAAAGCGTTATAGTCATTTGTGTCGCAATTTTCGTGAAATTGCTTCCTTAGCTGCAGAACATGACAAGTTAACTGAGTATGCACATCATCGTTCAATTGAGAAGCTTAAAGGCTTGGAAGAAAAAAAAGAAAAGCCTTGGTGAAAAAGATTGCACAAGTGGTGTTCAAAATTTGAAAGGCAAGGTTGATTCAACTGGTAAAGAACATGTTGAGATAATGGTTGAGCCTAATAATTGTGAAACAACAATTGTTTATGGAGTTGAGAGAAAAGCTATAGTCGGACATCCACACGGTCAACTGAAGGATCCGCTTGAACAAAAAAGGTCTAAGTCGACATCCAAGAGTAAAAAAACTCCTGCAAGACGACAAATAGCTATGGAGGTACCTAAATTGTATTTTGTGCATGTGCAAAGTGATTAATGTATTATCTTGCAAATGTAATTTTTTTTTTGGTCAAAATTTTTTGTAGGAATTTACTTGCACAGGTGAAAGTTCACAAACAATCCAGGGTGTAGGACATGAGGCTCATTTATTTGATAGCTTGTCTCAAGTAAGGACTTTTAACTCTTTTAATTTTAATGAAGTTATATCAAAATTTAATTTCTAGACATAAAAGTTGAGCTTGAGAATACAAACTTACTCTTTAAACATAAATGTAGGGATATGTCAATGTTGGAATTGGTTCAGAACAACAATTTCAAGCTACACATGGAATTCAGTGCACCAATGTATTGCCTTACTTTGAAAGAATTTTTAGCTTGTCAACTTATTTTATCCTGTTTTGATTTTCTAATATATTAATTTCAACACTCAT